CTTCAGATTTTGAGTTTACTCGTGAAGTTAAAATAACAAGATTTGATCTCTCTAACTTACCCAGCAGATCGACGCCGGTTTCTTCTTTCTGGAGAATCCTGTAACGAACAATAATTGAATGAGACAATATCCGGTAAAACCGCAATATCAAGGAGATAACACTAATCAACGGTTTACACCTTCGCAATCTCTAAATCATCTGTTCATGCCAGTCAAGTAATTTTATGGCGAATCGAAAATACGTAAAATAGAGTAAACACTAACCTCTCCTTGACATTTTTCTTCTTCTTCGAGATCCAGCTCAGCGAAGAACGCCTCCAAGACAAAGGCAACAATCTGAAACAAACAAGGATAAATTAGTCGACGTAAGAAGCCAAGTTGGGTTTTCTAATAACAATCCCACGACCAATCTGGTGTCAGTGAATCTCACCAAATTCAACAGAAGTAGAACAGTGATGACGTAGAAACTGACGAAATACGTAATGCTCCACCACGTCCCTGTCAAATCTTTGTAGCTCTGAAGAAGAAAAAAAAACATTATAAGAGTGACTGGTATTAAGAAGGAAGCTGTTTATAATCCACATTTATCAATGCTTCTTGTCGAAATTAAAAGGAGTTAAAAACTTGGAATAACAGAGTGATATACCTCCATCCAGACTTGCCAGTTACCCATCACTAGCAAATTAAAGAGTGTGACCATTCCATTGGGATAGTCATTGAAGTTGAACAATAGATAACTGAATTTTCCAATTAAGAAACATCATACGAGAAAAGTTGTTCACTATCTACCAAGATGTTGGGTGCGTAAAATGGTCTTAGTAAAGCCAAAAAGGATACTCATCCTCAGCCAGCTCAGTTTTAAAGAGCTGTTTGTTCCCGGCATTCACGAGCCCACCAAAGATCTATGAACAAATGAAACGAATAAAGTTTTATTTTAATCCATCATTGGAACTGGAAATTGAAGTAACTTAAGAGGTCTAGAAGAAAAAAAAAGAAACGATCAAGGCTTTTGACATATGCAATTTTTGGAAGAAGTCTGATTACCTGCACACCGATAGAGCAGTAGATACACACAATGCAGAAAATGGTCCCTAAATATGGCATCAGACTTGGAATAAGAGTTATGAACGTCGCAATAAATGCTCGGTAACGTTGGACGTGCATTAGAAGCCTTATCAGTCTTAACATTCTTGCGAGCAGAAGGTACCGGATCCTGTCAACGACGGAATAGAAGCAGAGTCAAGATTCTGTAGAGCTAAATGTACATAAGGAAACCATTGTAACAGATGTGCTGTAGTTATTCCTCACCATTCTCCGTTTGAGAAAAAAGTGTTTTCATCTGGAGTTATGAAGGTAGCTGTTTCCCCAATAACTGTGCATACAAAGATTTCAATTAAAGCATAACCATCAATCACTCAACTGAACAAGATGAATTTGCTGCTTCAAGAATTTTACCTATGACCCATGTGACCAGAAAATCAAACCGGTTTTGACCATCCCTCCAATAGTTCTCGAATCCATATGAATAGATCTTTAGTGCCATCTCCAACACATATATCCAACCTGTGAAAACATGAAAAGAAAGTTATTAACTCTTAACAAAATGATCAAGAAAAGTTTGCAGTTACGATCTCAAGATTAATTCCAAAAAAGATACTTTCTGATTGTAAATCCTACTCAGGGTTAAAATACAGGAAATAGTTAACCTTTTTTCTTTCATCATCTTTTCATCATATACCCCAGTAACAAAACTAAAGATAATACACTTTCCAAACCACCAAATAAGAGAAACGGAAAAATGGGGAGAAGTGGAAACATATTAAAGTTCTTACCAAAGACAAACTCTGCAACCTGCCATGGTTTCTGAGCCGAGCTTTCTTCGATATCAAGCTGCATACAAAAACCTATTATGGCTTATGAAAAATTTAGGAATTAAAATACACTTTATGGGGACAAGATATACCGTTGTTTCAACGACGACAGCAATGAAATTCAGAACGAGGATGAAAGAAATAGCGTAGCTAAAGTTTTGGCTTCGAACAAAGGCTCTCAGTTGTTGTGATAAGGCCGAATGGTAAATTTGCGGGAAATTTTCAAAGAGAGATGGCTGCAATGAAACACACAGGAGCGCTCATGTAAACACATATGGTGCGGGTTGAGTAAATTCCGAAAAGGGGAAAATAAAATATATGTGGACTTACTACTTCCTCCTTTTGGAATCTTAGAGCAATGGCCTGGCAGAGGTCAGCGAACTCATCCTTGTTTATCTGCTCAATAGGAAAATACAAAAAAGCAACATTTATGAGTAAAAAGGTTTATGTAATCTTTAAGGTGTACCCTAATCATTTGTGCCACCTAAGAATGGCTTCGAAAATCTCTACCTTAAAGTCACGTGTATCATCAAGCTCATCAAATATCAATCCGAATTCTTCTTTTGATATCTTTGGCAAAGTCCTGAATATACAGAGAAAGGAAAGCATATCAAGTCTCTGAAATTAACAAAAATAAAAGGGCAGAGAGTCAAGAGACCATGAAAAAGTAACTAAATGCCATATATAGTTCTTCCAATCCATGAAAAACCATTTAAATTTACGAAGGATCAAAGCAACATACCTGTAATTAGTCAACTGTTCAAAGAGCTTAATGCATTGCTCCTTATCAATCGTCCCGGTTTTCTGTTAAAACATGAAATAAAGAACGAAGAAAACATATATGCTAAGCAATGTAGTTAACTATACGAAGACTCTCCTTTCATGAAGATTTTAGCCCACATGGTACTTCCCCCTATATCTAGTTATGTGTGGATGAACTTACGTCTGTGTCTATGATACCAAAGGCTTTTTCCAGCATTCTTCTCTTCATTTGATCCATTCCAGATACTTGCTTTGCGAGCTACAAAAAGAAAAAATATGACACAGTGTGTGGAAATTTTTTGGTACTTTGTGTTTCAACTTTGACTGACATAAGAACCATGCAAACATCAACTTTTTAACCAACCTGTTCTTTGAAACTGTCATAAACAACGGCAAGAATCAAGTTCGTGACAAAGTAGACGCCAATTAGCACGTAGAGCACGAAGAACAACGAAGACCAGCGAGAAGACCTTACAAAAACAGAACAAATTAGTCTCCCATATTACTGGATGCAACTCAACACAAGCAAACTGAAATACAAATGAACTTTCACCTAATACTTACTTGTAGGCAGGAATCCAGACATCAGGATTGTTGGATGTTGTGAACAAAATAAACATCTGATAAAGAGTAGCACCGTAAGAAGTGAATAGTGTGAGGCCTTGCTGTGTGTCTTCAAACATAACAAAAGCAATCCAACTGGCAAATAGAAGGAACAACATCCATAGAGCCTGTGGAAATATTCAAGGAGTTAAGCATAGGATGAAAATGAGTTCACCACCAAACTGAGAGTCAAAATTGATTGTCAAGGCCACTGACCAAGATATTCAAGTATGTGCCAAGCATTCCAGACAGAAGGACAAGGCTGTCTCGAAGTCCCCTGTACAGGAATTTTAAGAAGCATAACTTTAGGGAATGATGAGAGCTAAATTTAATGATTTATTAGGAGGACAAGTAGGTAAAAGAGTCGCAGGTACACATTTATCATACATAACATGATCTACTCATTCTTTGTTTATAGATATGATGAAATATGATACGTGTATTCGCATTGAAACTAGTTGAAGAAAAGAAGCATAAATCTATGAATACCTTATGCTGAGGATGAATAAGATAACTCTCACATATGGGGCGATTCTAAAAGGAAGAAAATCAAAAGCCAGTGGAGACAGGTATAGAATGTCAACCAGCACATCAACAAACAAAATTACCACGCAAGCAACCTGAAATCAAGAAGAACAAAAATTCCTTCATGAAAAAGCCGGTTTTCTTTCGCTTTCTGTCCAATTTTCAACAAAAAAAAAAGCAAGAAACTGTGAAGGGAGTTGTAAGGAAATACCTTCACTAGGTTCAGGCGACTTGTCCAAAAGATTCGGGACCCTTCATAGGAGATCGGAAAGAAAGTATGTACAAGGAGTATAACCAAGGTAATTACCTATTTGAACAAAGCAAAATATAAGGCTTTTAACACAATGAGAAAGGATCCTAGGCAGTAGTCCTAACAATAAACACCATACAAAGACGTGTAAGTCAATAATAACAACTAATTAAACGGGATCAACTAGTCTTGACAAAATATTCAAGTCTCTGAACGTTTGATTCGATACATATGTATATCTTGTGTGCTCATTTGCACTAAATCCATGCATCTATAGCTAAAATCACAGGCCAACAAGACTTAAATTCACTACTTGCCTCATAGATAATAGATTCTACGTTGGTCAAGTACGGTAACTCCCCCAGGTAATAGTATTCTCTGTCTTTGCAAGTCGGTGTAGGCTTTTTTTCACACCACAACGGTTGCTGCAAAAGACAAGCAAGAGTATTACACTTTCAAGTTTTTCTATTTTCTTAAGCTTTATACCACAAACATTACTTAATTAATAACAAGTCCTGACCTCAAGGAAGTTTATCAAAATCAGAGCAAAATAGTTGAGTGACCAGATAACATCCAAACGCGTGAAGATGAAATAATACTTCGCAGACTCTCCGAAGCTCGACTGATCAAGAATTTGCTCAGGTAGACCAATACCATCTTCAGCCTAAAAAACCACATATCATAGTCAATCCACAAAATCCTTTCGACGAAAAATGAAAGGGTTCCCCAAAATCAGCAAAAAGACAAATAACATCTCTAAAACGTTTCAGATATATAAAAACTTCACAGTCAATGAAACGTCACATACTCCAAATTCCCAATTTCAAATGTACAATGCTATGCTAATTTCGTAAGGAAAATACGGAATAAATCCTCTTTGTGACCAAAACGAATAGTGGATTGATTCAGAATACACATAA